CAAGTGTGGCCTTACCAAGGCATTGTGATCTTGATTCTATCCCTCTGTTAATGCAGCCTAGCACTGTGTTGGCCTTTTTGACAGCTGCAGCACAATGCTGACTCATATTTAGGTGATTGTCTACTAGGACTCAGAGGTCCCTCTCACAGTTATTACTATTGAGCATGGTGCCACCTATGCTGTACTTGTGCATTTGGTTATTCTTGCCTAAATGTAGAACCTTGCTTTTTTCACCATTGAATTTCATTTTGTTAGTTAGTGCCCAGTGTTCAAGTCTGTCCAGATCCTTCTGTATCTTAAGCCTGTCTTCTGGAGTGTTGGCTATTCCTGCCAGCTTGGTGTCGTCTGCAAATTTGATGAGTTCCCCATCTATCCCTTCCTCCAAATCGTTGATGAAGATGTTGAAGAGTACTGGGCCCAGAACAGAGCCCTGGGGCACCCCACTACACACTTCCCTCCATATAGATGCAGTTCCATTGAGGACCACTCGCTGAGTACGGCCGGTCAGCCAGCTACGGATCCATCTGGTGGTGATTCTGTCTACCCCACATTTTTCTATCTTGTCAAGTAGTAGGTTGTGATCTACTTTATCAAATGCCTTACTGAAGTCCAAGTAAATTATGTCCACAGCATTCCTCTGATCCACTAATTTTGTCACTTGGTCAAAGAATGCAATAAGATTTGTCTGGAATGATCTATTTTTGACAAATCCATGTTGGCTTTTAGTAATGACTGTTTGCCTCTAGGTGTTTGTTGATTCGTTGTTTGATTATCTTTTCCAGGCTCTTCCCAGGTATTGAGGTCAGACTGATAGGTCTGTAATTTCCTGGATCCATTTTTTTTTCCTTTTTTGAGGATGGGAACTACATCAGCTCTTTTCCAGTCTTCTGGTAGTTCCCCTGTGTTCCAGGATCTTTGAAAAATATAGTTCAGTGGTTCCGATATCACATCTGCCAGTTCCTTGAGAACCTTGGGGTATAATCCATCTGGTCCTGGCGATTTGAACTCATCTAGGCTGGATAGGTGCTCACTTACCATTTTCTTGCCTATCTTAACTTGTGTTTCTATTTTGTTTTTTATGGCACTATTTTTGATAGTGTTTATGGCACTATTTTTGTTATTGTTTATATTCCATGACCCTGTGGCAAGAAAAGTCATAAAATGGGGCAAAACTCACTTAACCAATTTCTCACTTAGCAACATAAATTTTGGGCTCGATTGTGGTCATACATCGAAGATTACCTGTATTATGGCAATAAGATAAACTATCTGAGAGAAGGCCAACATATAGATAGAATTAAAATATTTCAGGTCTATAAAGAAAAGAATTGAAAAAAATACAGAATCAATAAACATAAGTGAATGATATGGAAAATTTGCATGAACTTCAAAAACAGCTAAGAATTGCCTAGCAGGCCCTATATAACTTCTTGCACTTATGCAATGAATCCAGTAATTCAAATTAAAAAAAAATCCTTCAGGGTGGCATAAGATCCTGGAACAACCACAATCTTTGGGACATTTAAACAGCAGCTAGACATGTACACAACATGTATATTCCAAAATTGCACAGATTGTGCTATGCAAGACAAGCAATCATAGCTGAAATTATGAATGTAGGTTTTATATATATGGAGGGCAAAGCAGCCAGACCACAATATGTGTGTCAGATGATGAAACATTTCTTTTAATACAAAAACCCAAACATATTTTCATATATAGATGATTTGTTGGCACCAGGCTAATAAAGCACCAAAGATGACCACATGGAAAACAAGGGAATGAAATATAAAACACAGAGGAATCAATGTTAGTGGTGGCAAGTAAAAACAGTGAGCAATATCATGGCTTTATTCCATCACTGCAGGGCTTTAATATCATAATGTTATCTGCTGATCAACAAAGTTCAGATTCTTAAAGAGCACTGAGTCCAAAAAGTATAGAAATAAAATTTACACATGAATTTAATTACAGATTATTATTGATTCCCCAGGATCAGTAGAAATGCATAGATTTACATGTGGGGGGGAAAAAAAAGCATGCGCAGCAAGCTGCCATGCTTTCCCCCCCCCACAAACCTCATAACCTTTGTCCCAATGAAGCAGCCAGAAGGTCATCCCCTTTTGACTTAATATCTCACCTATCTAAATAAATAATATGCTTAAGTTCCCTCTTATCTCTTCCTGTCTTTGTTAGTTCCTTTTGCTTTTCATCTCCCTGTATTTGTTTTTACCTGGTCTCTGAACAGGTAATATGTTACTAAAAAATAGTTGCTTATACGAAGGAATTTTCCAATGAAGAAATTTTATGTCAGCATCTAAAGGTTAAACTTATGAATGTAAAATGTCAATTACAGCTTATTTATGTAAAAAGTATAAAAAAAAACAATAAACACCCAGAGACTCTCAAGCTGTCTCAAGCTGTGACAAACAGTTCTGCAGCAGCTTCAAATCTCTGCTCAAGATATGCCTGAGTTTTTTTCTTAGCATCTTTACATTTACAGACTAAGTACATACAAATACTTAAGCATTTGAGCCAAAGGAGAAAAAGTGGCAATCAAAATTGTTCATGAATTGGTAGTCAAGCAATTTAAAATTATTTTTTTCTTTATAAATAAGTACATTTCTTTGCAACATGTGCATTATTTCTTTGGAATTATAAAAAATTGTTACACAAACAAAAGAATATTCATTTAAATGAAAAATGTTAAGGAGACACTGGTTTAAATTCACTTCATACAAAGTGAAATATTATAGGCCTCACACAGAGGCCATTAGTCATCCATATTTTGGCTTAAGATGAATGCTGTCAAAAGTCACAAGCCAAACTGAAGCTATGACGACTCTCCTGAGTCATTTATGTGAGAGATCTAATACGAACAAGGATTCTCCCATTATAGCATCAGTCCTACAGAAAGTCTTTAATATTTCCATGAAACTGGATGCTAAATATCTAAAAATATCGTATTATATCAATATGAACAATTCACTACAGGTAGTCCTCAAGTTGCAAGTGTAATGGAGCCTGCCCATTCCACTCATAACTCGTAGAGTGAATCTCGTACCTCAAATGAGATCACTCCCTTGTTCATTAAAATGCACACGACTCATTAGCCAACATGAGGTATCTCACGGTGGGGAAGGCCATGAAAGGCCTAGTGATGGAACAGGCCCCCAAGGCTGCCCTGATCCACTAAGATACCGCATGCTTCCCCCTCTCTTCCTGCCGTGCTGAACTCACCTGGAAAAGATCCGTCTACTCTCTGCCACACTTCCTGCTGCCGCCCGGATCTGAGGCCGGAGGATGCTTCCGCATCCCCCTCCCCGGCAGCCCAATCCGGTCTCCAGAACCCTTGTCCAGGTCTCTGCCATCCAGATTTAAGCTGCCCCGCCGTGGCCTGATCCGGGCTCCTGAGACCTTCTCTGGGCCGCTGCTCCCAGATCTGAGGCTGGGGAACGCTTACGCAGCCCAATCCGGAGTCTGGAGGCCTTTTTCAGGCTGCTGCTGTCCAGGTTTGAGGCTGGGGAATGCTTCCATGCCTCCTCTGTGGCCCAATCCAGGCTCCAAAGGTACTTTTCCAGGCCGTTGCTGCCCGGATCTGAGGCTAGCGAATGCTTCCGCAGCACCACCACCACCACCACCCCCGCAGCACAATCGGGCCTGGAAAACGCCTCTGGAGACCAGATTGGGCCGCAGGGAGGGCACAGAAGCATTAACCAGCCTTAGATGTGGAAAAGGCCTCCGGAGCCCAGATTGGGGCCACAGGGGGTGCAGAAGTGTTCCCCAGCCTTAGATCTGGGTGGCAACAGGCTGGAAAAGGTTTCCGGAGCCCGGCTGAGGTTGTGGAGGGCAGCGGAAGCATTCCCCGCCCTTGGATCCAGGGGCAGCAGCCTGAAAAATGCCTCCAGAGCCCAGATCAAGGTGCGGCAGGGAGCAGAAGCATCCCCCAGCCTCAGAGCTGGGCAGCAGTGGCCTGGAAAATGCCGCTGGAGCCCAGATTGGGCCATGGGGGCGCGGAAGCATTCCCCAGTCTTAGATCTGGGGGCAACGACTGCAAAAGGCCTCCAGAGCCCAGATTGAGCTGTGGGGGTCGCGGAAGCATTCCCCAGCCTTAAATCCGTGCAGCAGTGGCCTGGAAAATGCCCCCAGAGCCCAGATTGGGCCACCTAGAAGGTACAGAATTATTTCCCAGCCTTAGATGTAGGCAGCAGTAGCCTGGAAAACACTTCTGGAGCCCAGATCGAGCCATGGGGAGGAATGGAAACATTCCCCGGTCTCAGATCTAGGTGACAATGGCCTGGAAAATGCCTCTAGAGCCTCGATCCAGCCTCCAGAGGTACGTGGAAGCGTCCCCTAGTTTTGGTTCCATTCTTTGTTGCACAGAACAGAGGCCTAAAGTACCATGAGATCAGCAAGATCAATAACGTGAGATCTCGCCCCACTGACTTCGCATGATCTTGCATTATTTTAGGCCTCCATTCTCTGCAAATGCAACAAAGGCCTGGAGCAGCCAAGAAAACAAAGGATTTCAAACTTCGCAGGGTGAGTATTGAAAGCCTGGGGCCTAGGGAGACCCCATGGCAGGGGTCAGGAGGGAGGGAATAACCAGGTTGAATGTTGCAGAGCCACTGCGGTTGCTCGTATGGGTGAATGGCTGCCGTGGTGCTGCAATATTCATAACTACAGGACTTGCTTGTAAGTACTAAGGGTACTCATCATGTAACTTTGAACGAGCATTAAGTGAACGCTTGTAACTCAGGGATTACCTGCATAAGTATAATACAAATTTGGTCTAAAATCATACTTTAAAATAATTTATAGTTTAAAACTTATTTATATTTCCCTGTTCTTTCCTGCATTTGACATTCTGGGAATAAGGAATGGAATATTATCTCATTTTTCATCACAAGAATTAAAAATAAAACCATATAAAATTTCAAAGAAAAAAAAGCTAATGACAGAATACTGTCATTAATTTCAGTACTGCTGAAATTAAATACCTGTTATTGAGCAGTAAATAATATGAGGTGCAACTTTGTTGATGTCTTCATAGCCTAGACCCATTCCAGCCAGTTTTCCAGGGACATAGTTTTCCACAAGCACATCACAGATAGCTGCCAGCTGAAATTTAAAGTGGAAATGAGTCAGACTCTTAACAAATTTCCAAGCATTCAGCAGCAATAACAACAAACCATAAACACAATTTAAAATCTCAGTAAACAAGACAGTTTTAGCATATCTGTGTTCTATAGAGTTGAATTTATCTCTATAGAAATAAAACATAGCAATTAATTCTTAAAATATCAGTCCTAAAACTGAAACTCAAGAATAAGAAGAGCCTAACAGAGCTGACTGGTTTGCTCATTTAAATTATTTCTTTACTTTGTAATAATCACATTTAATCTATGATTATGGAACCAAGGCATAAGCAATTTCTAATCCATAGATCGTGTATGCAGCAGCTTAGAGAATATTCTCTAATTCCATGATGCCTGAAAAAAGGCTCCAATGATATCACTGAAGCTGCAAGGCATCTTTAAGAACAGTTGCTATTAGAAAAGGAAGGAGAGCGAATCCTTTATTCCATAATGTTGCAGAAAAATATTACACATGTGTGAACAAACACATATACCAACTAAAATCAATCTATTAACATAAACTAAATCTGTTTCAAAGTATTATTTTGGTCTGCATGTGGGAGAATAGGGGAGAAAGGAAGAATGAATAATGTGTGTTATGCAGCCATGGGAAAATGTGTTGGAGATTGCTTCTCAAAATGAAGACATTTTACTCCATATTGGTTGTGGCTACATTCACCAAAGACTTAATATCCCAATTTTTTTCCATCAATTATTCTTCCCAATCTATTATTGGGCCAAGAAAGTTCTTTCATCAATTATTCTTCCCAATCTATTATTGGACCAAGAAAGTTCTTTTCAACTTCAACTTTAGTTGTGGGTTTTTTCTAACCAGTAGTTAAAAAGAATTTTAGTTTGCTGATAAAAATATTTCCTTAAAATGACAATGTTGAAAGAGATGCTTAAAAAATGTAATGGAGAGAACTATTCAGTGATTTTAAAAAGTATCCTTATTTTCATATCACTTTTTAAAGACTCTGCATCTATAATTATAATGGTATTCTTTTTTTACTGGTAGACTTAACCTATACAGACATTACTGTGAATTTTGGAATTAGTTGGGTAACCACTCAGGATGTACTAAAGGTATATTTTTATTTTTCCTTTAATATCTGAACAGCAGCATTAGTGATTCACAAAGTTTTGGATGGGCACAATTGTCAAGATCTCCACTGTCGGCCTGGAGCCTTGCCGGGCTCCTGCCATCAAAGGGGAAGAGAGGGGGGAAGCATTTGGGGCAATCCACACATGTGTATCAAATGGTTGGAAAAAGGAAGGTGATGGGGAGGGGGGAAAGTAACAAGACCACACTGGCTATTACCAGGATCTTCAAGGTCTTTTGCTCTGAGAATAGATTGCTAACAGCTTCACATCCCAGTTTCTCAAAACACCTTACTAGCATCACATTGGCTGGCCAGGGGACTAGTCATGAAAGGAGAGATTGGGAGTTTGAAAGAATAGCTTTGCATTTTGCATAGGAACACCATATTCTGCCTGATTTTACTGCAACCAGTTACTTTCAGTAAAAGTTTCTTTGCTTCAATTAAACGGAGTCACAAGTCCTACTTTCCTGAGAGAGAAAACTGGGGCAGGTCTGACAACAATCTATTGTGTTTCCCCGAAAGTAAGACCCGGTCTTGATTTCTTTTGGGCTCTGAAGAAAGCACTAGGATATACTTTCGGGGACAACTTACTTTGTGCTGGTAGGTCAAGAATGCGTGGGGGTGGGGCGGGGCTTGTACATGGAGTGGAGAAGCAATGCAGCTGCGAGAGCATGGTGGCGAACCAGGTACGGTACTGGGACAGGCGGGCGGGAGGGAGGCATGCCCTTCCCATGCCAGGCCAGCCCCTGCAGCCCTGGGGCAGCCATGTTGGGTGGTGGTGGATAGGGCGCTGAGGTGGCAGGTGGAACACCAGAGGCTCAGGGAGGGAGGATGATGAAGCAGACAGGTGGGTCATGTGTGCCTTCCCATGCCAGGCCAGGCCCTGTAGTCCCTGGGCAGCCATGCTGGGAAGCAGCAGGAAGGGCACTGAGGTGGCAGGTGGAGCACCGGAGGCTCGGGGAGAGAGGGTGGTGAAGCGGGTGGGCATCCTGCCATCAAAACCCATGCCTTTCCTTACCTGACTCCCAGCCCTTTTCTCCTTCATGATCCGCCGCCGTGTGCAGGGAAACAAAAGAAGTTGGGGGGGGGAAGTCAATCAATTCCAACTTCGTGAGATCTTTTTTTTTCGCGAGAAGTTGGAATTGATTGACCTTTTTCTCCCCCACAAACTTTCCTTTGATATGCAAGGATTTATTTTCAATTTAAACTCACCTCTTTAATTATCTTTGCTCCCTTGGCCTTCTTCATATTAACAGCTATACTCTAGTAAAAAGGAAAAATGTAATTCTCTTAATAATATAAAAACAACTTTCTATTCAGTTATCAATTCAGAACATTATTGAAAAAAAATCCACTTAGAACATTAATGAAAGAATGAATCAATCACATCTAATAGCTGTTTCACCTTTAAACAATGCTGTGTATATGCATACATGTAGTACAGATAGGAGCCCTCTGGCACACTTTTGAGAATTAGCCTCATCCACATACGCTTATCCATGCATAAGCACATACAAGTAGTAGAGATGTGAGAATTAACTCTGCCCATCATGGGAAATCCCCTACCCATCCACCAATGACATTATGAGAAATTCCCACACCCGCACATAAATGCAGACGAGTAGTAGAAATATGGGAAATCCCTACACTAGAAAAATCTGTGCTATCCACCTATAAGACAAAAAGGAAAATGCATTAAAATTTATTTCTGTATATAACAAAAGAGACATGTCTATGGTAAAGAAATATTTGCTTCCAAAGTTGAAGCAGATAATGAAAGAACAAGATCAAAGGCGTGAAGACTATGAAAAAACCAGAGATCTTGAAACTTCTCATTGAAAGAAGGCTTGTTCCTGCTGAGCTCTCACAAAGCCGCAAAAGCCACAAAAGATTGTGAACCCAAAGGATGAGTTCCTTAAAAGGAAATATCCACTTCCTGCCCTGAAGCAGATAATGAAAGACAACAAGATCAAAGGCATAATGACTATGAAAAAAACAGAGATCTTGAAACTTCTCGTTGAAAGAGGGCTTGTTCCTACTGAAGCTCCTGCAATACCACAAAACCCAAAGTATGCACACCTTAACTAGATCCGCAATAACCCAATGAAAGTGATAGTTAAAGATAGAGAAACAGGAATTGAAACTGAATATCTTCAAGGATAGACGTGCACTAAGATGTTCAACAAAAGCCTTCAATGATTACAATGGTAAAATATGGAGAGAAAGATACGAGATAAATATGGTTGATAACTAACAGATTTTTGGACTCCAAAATTGAATATGCCTTAAACAAATTTCTTGCCTACTATAAAATGGTTAACAAAGTAACTGTTCGTGAGTTGCATGCCATTGCAAAACAACAGGGACTGCGGGGTTACTCAAAGCTCAGAAAGGCTGAGTTTATGGTTCTACTTAATGGTACTACAGCAAGATTCGATGAGCCAATTCTATATATACAGATTATTCTTATTACATCAATGCCAGCTTCAGTTATCAAGAAAATCAATACATTTGCTGATTGGATTATTAGCTATATATCCAAAGAACCAAAGAGAGTTGTGAATGAAAAACTCAAAGTGCTCAAAACACAAGTCAAATCTATCTTCAACAAGGTTTACAAAAACAAGGTTTGGGTCAGACAAAGCAAGTTGGCAATCAAAGGATTCGCAAAGCAATACGTTATTGACAGTATTAAAGGAGTCGACGTAATTCCATTTCTAAGAAGGGTTAGAAACAAAGTTGTAAATCTGCTGGCTAATAATCGCATGACAAAAGTTAACTTGGTTCTTTCTTGCAAGGTGGAGTGTGACAATATGAAAAGGAGAGAAGTTATCAGCACCAATGCTCCGTTTTATTCAAAGACAGAAGTTGTATTAGAAGCAACCGATGTCAGTGAATTATATAGCAAAGCTGTTGACAAGATAATGGAGTCAATGGCAATATTTCAGATGCGAGGTAGTAACTGGAAGTTGAAGGCTATGCAAAGGTTGGAGATAAACACTGTCGCGTACAAACCATTAAAGAGTAAGTCGTACATTCCGCTTCCACCTGTTTTGGCAAACAAAAAAGCGATTGTCAACATGAAAAATAAAGACAACCAATGTTTCAAATGGTGCATGATGCGAGCATTGAATCCAGCAGACCATAATCCTAAAAGAATAACAAATGAATTGAGGAAATAAGTTGAGAAGCTAAATTGGAGTGGTACTGAATTCCCTGTTGCTATTGACAAAAAATGTCATTAGCAGTTTGAAAGAAACAATAACATCAGCGTTAATGTCTTTGGTTAGTCGACATATGTATACCCCATGGTGTCCAAGCACCAAAGTGATAAAGTTGTTCATCTACTGCTTATTTCCGACAGCATCAAGAAGCACTATTGCTAGATAATGAACTTAACAGACTGATGACAAAGAGAACAGAAAAATCACAACACACAATGCACTATTGCAAAAGATGTTTGACCAGTTACTAAAAGATTGAGGCTCTTAAGAAACATGAGTGTTGTTCATTGAACAGAGCCCAAAAGATAGAACTCCCTAAAGCCAACATAATGCTATCTTTTGAGAACTACAATAGGTTGATGAGGGTGCTGTTTGTAATGTATGCAGATTTTGAATCGTTCATTAAACTGATGGATATGTGCCAACCAAACTCCAAAGAGTCTTACATGAACAAGTATCAGAAGCACATTCCATGCTTGTTTTGATACCTTATGTTTCGATGATACTGTATATAAACAAGACCCAGTTGTATTCACCGCCGAGAATGAAAACGATGATGTAGCACAGATATTCATCAACATGCTTGTGAAAAACAAGGATATATATCAACAATTCAAGTTTCCAAAGAAGGTGATATTTATAAAAGATGATGCAGAGATATGCCTCAGCTACTATGTGCCACATATTCGAAGAAGAGGTGTAGTTGAAGAAGTACCAGGTCTGGCAAAATTCATTCCTGGAATATGCATCTCACCTGGGAATTTCCCCCACAGAAGCTTTATCTTAATAGTGATAGAGTTCAATGACGAAACCAAGTCACCGCCGGTTATACTCGCTTTCACAAACTGTGTCTTCGTCATGCTACACAAAGCACACTTTCCACAAAGCATGGGTCTTTTGTTTTTGTTTTGAAGGTCATTTGTTGCAGTCTTGCTTCTACACCTCATACAATATATTTTAAATATAATTTATTTTATATGTAAAATGGAGCTAATAGATCTGTCATGGAATGCTGGATGGTCGAAAAGGCTTAACAGCCCTCTTCTTCCGGGATCGATAAGAGGTCTCATCGTTGGAAGGAGCAGCTGTGGAAAAACAGCTCTTATGTTGAATCTTCTCTTACGACCTAGATCAGGGATAGGCAACCCAAAACACTAAAAAAGCCATTTTTTCCCATCGAAAACAAAACACTGGGAGCCGCAAAACCATTTTGATATCTAAAATGAAGATAAAAAGGATATACTGTATGCAGAATTCCTGAGTCAGCATAGCTGGGCTAGCTAGCTCTCTCCTGCCCTTCCTGCTTCCTGCTTCCTGCAGAGGCGCAGCAAAGGGAGGAGCCCTGCCCCCAAAACTTTTCAGCTTGTCAGAGAACACTGTGAGTCCACTCTCTTTCACACACAAACATACATGCACACACACACACACACACACACACAAAGAGAGACAGAGACAGAGAGAGAAGCAGGGAAGCGCAAGTGCCTCTCTCTGTCTCTGTCTCTCTCTGCAAATGGCAGAGGAGGCTGGGAGCCACAGGGGAAGGCTCAAAGAGCCGCATGGGGCTCCGGAGCCGAAGGTTGCAGACCTGTGCCCTAGATGGTAAGACTACAACAACCTACAAGTATTTGGCACATCTCTGTTTCAACCAAAGTACAGGATCATCAAGAAAGCATTCAAAGAGAAATTGTCAAAAAAAATGAACCATTAGATTGTTAATCAAGATGAGATTTATAAGTCTTAATCTATCCTCACATGGCTAACTGAAGTAATAGCTAAAGACTCAGTTGGATTGGCCAACATAGAATGCAAGTTCTTTGAAACAGCGGATGATGTGCCAGACCCAGGAGACCTAAGCGGTACAAAGAAGAACCTGATGATGTTTGATGATCTTCTGTTGGAAAAGCAAAACAAATGTGAAGCATATTACACGAGGGGATGTCATAGCAATGTAGACTGCTTTTACCTCACACAAGACTACTTCGAACTTCCAAGGCAAACCATCAAAAGGAATGTAAATTTCATCTATTTCCACAAAGTGTTAATCATATCTATTACGATCATGCATCAAGAGACATGCCTATTGAACAGTTTAGAAGACTTTGTGAAACCACGTGGGAGCAGCTGCATGGGTTTGTTGTTATAGATTTATCGAGCAAGAAAGAAAGGGGTAAATACAGATCAGGATTTCACAAGTTCTTCATATTGTTCAGTGAAAAAAAGCATTAAAATTAAAACCAAGTTTAGACCGCTTATCCAGTTAGATAAAAACAAAAAGTATGAAATGGCTCTAGTGAATCTCGAAGCATATAATTCGTTCCCAAACATTGATGCAAGCAATGTACTCATCGGATAACTGAAAACGTGGCTTGACATAAATGTGCCGGAAGGGTTGTATGAAATTACAGACATAAACGATTACATACAGAAAATCATGAAAGAAAAAGGACACTATAACTCTGTCGCAAACAATTATTACATATCCATAGAGCCAAAAAACAACACACTAAAGTCTGTACTTGATATAGCATCTCAATACAGAATCGACTTTATGACAGCAAATTCTATTAGAATTGTATTAGGCTTCACCTTGCAAGTGTACACAGAAGGGTATGAGTCAGAGAACATCATTAACATAGTTAATATAAGCAGCATTAGAGTAGCCAATGATATAATTGGATCATCGTACACCAATGGCACAACAGAAAGTATTATATATAGTTTCTTCCCGAGATCATCGAAGAAACGGCTAACTTGGTTTACCTTCCAATCACCACAAGCACAATTTCAGTGATGGAAACAAAACTTATTGATCAAGATGGGAAACTTATCAACCTACAAGGCAAAGAGCTATCCAAAAATCACATATAAAATGAGTGGATACATATTCTGGAACGTATATATAGCCCTAACTAGAGAGCAGGTATCAGAGTGTTGGAGTGTCTGGCAGTTATTGGGTTAAATGCTGCGTATGTTGATGGGTCAGTGGGAGGAGTATCAAAGGTCATTGAGAGACTTCCTGGACACAAGCCAGATGGGATC